GCGAAGTTGAGAAGTGTGACCAGTTTAATTTTTACAGCCTTAAAAATTTCTTTAAAAAATTTAAAACAAATTATATTTACCATCGAAACATAGTTAGTTATGGGCAGCATGCATAGAAGTATTCTGAAATATGGATAATAGTAAAAATAATTTTATAATATATTTATTTAACAAATTTCCTATTTTCCAAGATAGTTTTCAATTTATTTTATTTGCAGTCGAACTTTTATAACTATAACTATAATGTATTCTCTAGGTTTGTTTTATTTGAAATATAAAATTGACTTCAAATGTTTTTATAACTCTTTTTATTGATCGGTCAAAGTTTTCACAAACAATTGTATAATTATGTGTTTAAAGGATTATAAAAAATATTTTGATAAAAAAATTTTAAAATCTTTTTCGAAGGTATATTAAAATTTTTTCTAAACCCTACTCAGCTCTGGTCACATTTCGGCTCTGAGGTCTGACTAAGCTGGCCGATTGCGACCCCTCCTTCCTTCTGTGGGCCAAAACAAACTACGCAGATTTCATTGTTAGCCTCGTTGGCAGCATGTAAATGTCCGTCTTTTGTTTTGCCCGCTGCTGCTGGCCCAAGTGGCCAACTGTCTGGGCCTGGTCGGCTGTTGGTCGGCTGCGGTCGCTGTTGTCTTAAATTAATACCAAATTGTCAACGCTGGCGAAAAGCTGCACAGCGCGCCAACGCCGCATGATAAGAGCGGCAGGAACCAGAAGAGCTGGGTTACCAACTGGGCAAATGGGCAACTGGGCATCGGGGAGTTGGTTAAACTGGGAACTGGGAACTGGGAAATGGGAGCCCACTGAATGCGACTACTGCATCTGCGCATGCGTCTGCGCTTTTCGCTTCTGTGCGCGGCTTTCGCTCGTTTTGGCCGCTGGTTTTGCGGCTGGTCTAAGGTCTTCGATGGTCGTCAATTGATAGCCAGATTTGTGCAATTATCATTTTAATAATTGCCAACAATCTGCACGATATGAACCGGAGACAGCGACAACGGCTCCTCCTGGTCGTGCTCATAACCAGTAGCCGGTCGGTAACCACTGTCGCCTCGCCGTGGGCATCGTACTAGCCTCCATTTGTTGCCAAGACAATTATAATCCACATGGCCAGGCTACATAATAATAAATTTATTACAGATTTCCGCCTGATTTGTTGGAAGGAATTTTCCAGCAGCATCGGAATCCCCTGGATTCAGCAGCAGCACCCACTGTGTGACAAATAGAGAATACTTAAATGGTCTCTCAGTGCTTTAAACGATGTCGGCAGATAGTCCGATAAATCAGTAGAGATCGGTGGATCCGTGGTTCGGTGATTCGGTGAGGAGAGCCAAGGGAAACACGTCCCGGAATCTCAGTAATTAAACAGTTTGGTGAGCTTTAATTGTTATTTGATTAAATCAGGATGGAATTTTTCCTTCATGTGTTTTATAAAATTCATGGAGAACTAAGAAAAATACATTTTATTTAAGTGAACGTTTATGTACTCAAATAGTTTTTTGGTCCAATATTTATTAAATTTATTATATATATATGGTAATAAAAACTACTTTAAATAAAATATAACATTTCTTTATAATATTTTGTAAATAAATTTACAACTGCTTATTTGTATATATAAAATAATACAATTTGTTAACATTTTTCCTGAATATTTGAACAATAATAACATTTTTAATAATTTTTCCTGAATATTTGTAACCTAATTAAAAATCACCGAATATTTGTAATTCTATCTAAATAATTTAAAAGTTAAAGAAATTTAAGTGCGATTAAAATAAATAGATAAGGCAAATATTTAGATCTAAAGCTGTCAGCCGTTTTAGCTTATGGTATATCTGTTCAGTATGCACTTTATCTAACCATTCAGCCAGTCCACCCAACCATTCATCATGGGGCTCTCATTCAGCCAATCCAACATCTATCTAACGGTCCACACAACCCACTCACCTCCGAAGTTGGCCAGAAGCCGAAACTCACCTCGCCACGAGCTGGCTAACACATACAGGCGCAAACCCGTTCCGTGTGCATGTTACCCGCCCTCTCAGCGTTGTTTCGACCAATCAGCGAGGAGCGGGCGAGAGCCACGAGCCAAGTGCAAAGGCATTTCCGAGTTTCCGACGTGTGGGATTTGCTCGAACACAGGGGCCTCTGAGGGTGTCGTAAATAAAATGTCGCCCGATACGAAAAACAGTGAATGGAAATTATGTACGACTCACGAGCTGCCTTTACCTGTGCTGCGTTGCACACAAAAAAAAATGTTGAGCAGTATTCAAGTTAACAAAAACCATCACAGAACAAAAAATACAAAGGAAATACATTTTAAAATGGATTTGGTTCATGAATTCTGAATTCTTGATAATAGTATTTGGTTCTAAACGATAAAAAACTGGCGGTCTCAGAAATATTTTCCTAAAATTGAGAACCTGAAAACTTACAATTTTTGAAAAACATTTTAAACTTAGTAAAACTACTTCGAATTTGTATTATAAAACTTACAGATACCTTTTTTTGAACTGAAAGCAATTATTTTCCTTTTATTGACCTTTAATTGTTAATAAAATAAATAGTCCAAAAAATCAATTTTGATAAAATCGATTTAAAAAATTCTTATTTTGTAACACATCATTTGTAACATTTCAAAATGAAATATAGAATATTGAATATAGAATAAAACAGACACTATTCTGTATTGAAAGTTGGAAATCTGTTATTGGCATACAGATACGGATTTAATTGATAACAATTTGTGAAGCGCAAATGAAAAGTAATTTCACTTTCGAATGAGTATTTGTCTTATTTCCGTAGTGAAATTAAAAAACCCCATTTACTGATATCACCTAAATCCAAAACTGCCTGTGCCTTTAGTGGTTTTTATATTAGTGTACCGGCACGACTGCGCATATCAAACCATGATAGATGTGAGCGGCATACGGCGAATCCGTTACAAAGCGTTTGTGGCAGGGGATGAGCGAGTGAGGGGCAGAGGCACGCGCCCTCAGTCCTCCAGAAAAACAGAAAAAAAAAACGCTGCCAAGCGAAACGATGCCACCAAGTTGAGTTGACTTGGCCAGCCCTCATCGCGGTCGAAATTCCCCCATTTTGGCCCGCTTTTGAGGCCGGCCGCGTGCCTCGTACCGCTTCGCTAGATCGGCAGAGCCCGTGGCGGACTTGTGTCCTCTGGAATTTCGGTGTCGCCTCAACTCTGCACATGTCCTGGCCAAGGAAATTGCGCCAAAAACTAGGGGAAGGGAAGGAAAAAATTGCTGACAAGGAAAAGGATCGTTAAATGTGGAAGTGTGCGCCCGCCACTTCTTCTTAGCTCGTTTTCTAGGCAGGTGTGGCCCGCGCCAAGGATAGATAAACTGGAATTGAGGCGGCCAAGACGAGGTGGCCAAGCGTGGCGGCGGACCAACTGAGGAGGAGGACCTCGCACCGTCGAAGGATAAGCTCGGGAAAAGGTGCAGCGAGCGAGAGAGAGGAAGAAAGTGGCAGGTGCTGGGCCCATCAGAGTGGTTTAATATGTACGAGCCAAGGATCCCTTTCTGCTTCTAGTTTTGTAATTATGTATTTTTATGTGAGAAACGAAAAAATGATTACAATCAAAGAAAATCGTAAATATACAGAAAACACCAATACTAACTAAATTTAAAATGGTTTGTTAAACATTTAAAAATTTGCATTCCCATTTTATAATTATTAAGTCGAAAATAAATATTATCATTGAAAATAAATCCATTATTCTTTTCTTAGTAAGAATTGTCAACCAAAATTTGAAATGCTTTTTTTCTGATTGGCAATTAAAAAACAGATGTTCTCCTATTGTTTGTGTTGTATATTTTTCGTCAAATTAAGAGTTGATAAAAAAAATAAAAAAATTAGGCAGAAACATTAAATCTAGAAAATAGAACGAAAGCATATTTTTGAATGACTAATAATTATTAACAATTTATGTAAAGCTGGTTTGTTGCTTTATTTGTTTTTAGACTTTACAATTTTTACGTTACTGAAATAATAGTAGAAAGTATACATAATCAAGTTGTGTCAGAATAAGTTTTTGTCTATTTAAAGTAAAATTTTAGTATATTTAAATTCAGAGCTGTTTATTCAAAAAAGAATTAAATAAACTTTAGAAAATTAGAAATTCATTTTTAATCTTTGTTAAATCTAAATGCAATCTAAACAGTATCTACAAATTATTCCTAGTCAAGAACTAGCACGTTGAGTTGCCACGACAGATGTTAGATCTGTGGATTCATCCACCTAAATATTTGTAGGCTGCCCCGCCCGGTTCCCGCCCTCGTCCTTTGTCCCTCGTCCTTTCCTCTATCAGCGATCAGTAGTGAAATCCTTCGACGATCGTTGGCTCCATCTCGCTTCTCTCTCTTCCTCTCTCTCCTTTTAACCAAAGCCTAATAATTCCCAAGCCAACAACAGTTGGTGGCAGCAACAGCAACAACAACAGCAGCAGCAGCAGCAATTGTAACTGTTACAGGGCAGCGGGAAAAGGACAACAAAAACGCCCGCCAAAGTTTAACTGCATACCAATTAGTAGGGAAACGCGTGCTGCCGAGAAAAGGAAAACCAGTAGTGTGAGGGAGAGGGGTGGATGAGAGGGGAAAGGGGGCGCCGCCAGAGGACTCCTAACTGTGCGTCTTGACCCTTACAACATGCCCGGGCCAACAGGAGCAACTGCAACAGCCGCCAACTGCTGCCAAAGGTGAAAAACCAGAGTTGGCAACACGAACACGAACACACACACACACACGCACACATGGAAGGGCTACAGAGCCACCACCAAAGAGCCAACTCGAATACACCAATATATAGAGGGCCCGTTTTGATTCGGCTTGCTGCCACCACTCCATACAAACACAGAAAAAAGAGAGCTCGATTTGTACCTTTTTTTTCGGGCCAAGTCGCTTCACCGTTGGCTCAATTTAGAACCGAGCCATCGACCAAAGATTCAGTCAGGTGCGAAGCACCGAGCGATACGGACGTGTTCGTCTCCAGTGAGTTAAGAATCCCGCACAAGAAAGTAACCCATCGAAGATTTGTTCGAATCGAAGATCAGATCACTCCGCTAAGAAAGTGAGATTTGTGCAGTGAAAAAGTACTGAGATATACTAAAATCACCCAAAGATTGTAAACAAAATAAAAAACAAAGTAAAAACAAATCAGCCAAGTGAGAAGCCAAAGTTAAGAACCGAAATCGAAATGAATCACCTATCGCCGCCGCCATCGCCGCACTCGCAGCAGCCGAGTCCAGCGGGCATGGGGATCGGGATGGGCTGCCATGGAGCAGCCCTGGACAAACAGTGGATGCAGCGGGCGTCCGCCTTCAACACTGTGATGGCCTCCGCCGCGGCACAGAAAATCAATGGGAGAGGTGAGTGCCAGACCTAAAGATCCACCTGGATGTGTAGTGGATCAGATCGCTAGTCGAAGAAATTAACTGGGGCTATTAAAGAGCCTAAAGAGACTAGCAAATCTAAAAGTTTTTGAAGTGATCCTTGACTAAGATTTTATTCAATTCGGATTATTTAATTTATTAGCAAAAATCTAGTCCCAGCAAGTCTTTGATTTAGATTTAATCCAATTCGGATCCAAACGAATATATTTATCCTACCCACATTAAGTGTGCTGTTTTAGCTTTTCCACTTTGAAATTAGTTCCCAAAGATTAGGATGATTAGTTTTGATTAAATAATTTTGAATAAAGATGTCGAGGTCTAAATTCAATAATATAAATTAAATTTACATTTAATATTAAATGGTTAAGATGGTGCTTTTTTCCGCACAAATGTGTTAAAAATCTAATGTGCATAAAATGAATTGCTGTAGATCAGTGCACTTAGGCTTAGATAACTAAATCTTCTGAAAATCAAAACAAATAGTTTAAGACAACAAGTAACTAATCAAGTTGTTTTTTTATATTTTTAATAAAAACAATTCCTTTTATCTCTAATTATGAGTTGGTAAACACTCTCCACACTTAGCCTCCTTTATCCAATTTAACCCATTTTTTTGTGTTCCCCCCCCAGATCTTCCCTTTTTGTACAACCCACTGCTCTACTCCAGTGCCCTGCTGTGGCCCCAATTCCTGTTGTCCTCGGCTACGGCTCTGGGCACGCCCCTAACCCCCATGACCCCCAAATCGCCCGCCTCTGTGGTGATGGGCCAGCGGGATCGGGACTACGCGTTGACCCCTGAAAAGGAGCACGAACTGCAGCTGAGCAAGCAGGAGGATCAGGAGCAGGACGAGGACATGCCCTTGAACCTGAGCACCAAGGAGCGCATCACATCGGATCTGGCCAACCAGGAGCAGTATCACAGCAGCAGTAACAACAGCAGCAGCAGGAGCAGCTCCAGCAGTGACGTGGAGCCACTGCATCCGATGACCGCTCTCAACGTGACCCCGCCCCCTTTGAGGGCGGTGAATCTGAAGAGTTCGGGCACACCACAACAACAGCGCCAGAGATCGCAGGGTAACATCATCTGGTCACCGGCCTCGATGTGCGAGAGATCGGCGAGAAGGGAGCAGTATGGTCTGAAAATGGAGGACGACGAGGAGGAGCACCAGGTGGATCCCATTGTGCGAAAGTTCAAGTACGAGCGCAGGACAGCTTCCATATCCTCGCTGCAATCACCGATCTCCTCGCTCTCCGCCCCACCCTCCACTTCCGTTCAGGATCTGGAGTTCGAGGTGGCCCAGCAGCAATTGTACGCCCATCGCAGTGCCTTCATGGCCGGACTCACGGGCAACAACCTGGAGCTGCTCACCCAGCACTTGAAGCAGAAGAGCGAGCAACCACAGCAGCAGCATCATCGCATCAAGGACGAGCAGCAGGATAACCGTTCGGCAGCCGCTCTCATGGGTTTGGTGGCAGCCGCCGAATTTGGCTACATGCGTAATCAACACCAACAGCCGCAGCAGCAACAGTTGCATCATCAGCAGCAGCAGCAGCAACATCAGCAACATCAGCAGCAACATCCTGACTCGACGGCCACAGATGTTGCGCGTCGGTCCTCCTCCTCGTCCTCTTACCAAGGTGAAGGCGAGGAGAAGCGCAGCGGCAGGAATTTTCAGGTAAGCAGACTCAAAACAGGATATCAGTGGTATGGGGGGGGAAAATTGAGGCCAAATCGTTTGGAAATCTCTGAGTTCTAATGGGCCTATTACGTGTCGTCCAGCTGGGCTGTGTGATCTACATAGAGCTCCACAATCCTTCTGAGGTGCAAATACTTTCATTGCATAAGGTTGCGTGTCCTCGGCAATTCCCCTGTGTTAATTGTTTCATATTTTTGTCCTCGGCGGTTTTAATTGTCAAAGAACCCCCTCAACGTCCCCCCTCCCTTCGCCAGTTTCAATTTGTAAAAGTGGCACAGCAAATACTGTCATAAAAATTGGTACTACAATCCAAACAGATAGCGAGCTCTATGGAAATTCAATTAAGTCCCATCGAAATCACGCAATTAGTTAATCAAATAATTTTGATTAGCGGGAGTGGGGGGAAGATTTATGTACAAATTACAATCATAATTGTCATTTCGATATTGGATTGTGAGGAGGTAAAAAGGGCACACGACCCCGAGGAATTTGAGACGAGGACTTACCCTTATGCCTACCCCCGATGTCATATTGCGTTTATATCCATCAACACTAGCCGCGAGTCCTTGTTTTGTTTTGTTTTTTTTTTTTCCCCTTACTTTTTCACACATTTGAAGGGTCAGTGAAATGCGATAGGTTTTTCGGGCTTCAGGACTGTGCCATATGGCCAAAAGCAGAGAAGACAGTTGCCAGAGTCTTTGGCGCAGGCGCAGGCACAGTTTTTATTGCTGTTTATATATAAATTCGATTTTTTTTTGTGTCTGTAACTCGTACTTTACATCTGTTCCACCGTAGGAGGCCCAACCGGCTGACTCAGACTTTGGGGTTTCTCCTGCGTTTTTCTTTTTTTTTTCGAACTTTGCCAACTTCCGTTCCGTTGTCGGAGCTAAGCAAATTGACATTATGGCTCAGGCAGTCGAACGCAGCTTAACAATAGAGCAACTAATTGGGTCTGAGTCTAGCCGATGTGGTGGATATGGATATATGGTCCACTCGAATGCAATGCGCAAATAGAAAATCCCAAAAAACAAGGCAGAAAAAATAAATAAAAATTAAAATAAAAATCAATAAAAAAAAAAGTAAGAAAAACTAAGAAAGAAATTTAAAAACAGACACTTGTGTCAATTTACAAAATACGAGTAGAGCAAGCTGGGTTTTCGAAAAAGAAATTGTCTCACATTTTTTTTTTTCCCCCCCATTTTTGTTGTGCTTAATAAATGTCGCCCACGTAGGCCGAGCTGATGAACGATTTGAGTTGTGTTATGTCAATGTTTGGTTACTTGCTGCAACATGCAACTGGCAAACTGTTCAAACATTTAATCTGACAACCGAAGATGTTACAGGCAGTGGATCCGTATCCATCCAATCCGCGGTCGATGTGTTTCGCTCACAAATAAATATGTCTGTTTGTATAGAATATAGCTCTCTGGAAAGTGTTTCACTTGAGATTGATTTAGCATTGGGCCGATACCTATTTACTTAGCTGTTTCTCCCCCGACTTCGAAATGCAAAAATGCTAGCCTTTTTATCGTCTAGATGTGGGCTAACTTTGGGTTTTCCCTCGCTCCGGGGTTGTCGTCACCTGTCTAACAAATATTTGAGCACTCACAAATCTAGTTTAATTCATGTTGCCACTGAGAATTTAGCTCAGACACACAAGGCGAATGTATTTAAATATTGAGTGTGGCAAATTCTTTTCAGATTTTCTTTGCTTTTTTGGGAATACGAGTTCAGGCTGTTCAAATATGGGGTATTCTGGGCTGGAGCTTCAGAAATCGTGACTCGCAATGTTTGAGTGTGATGTTAATGCTATGTTTTTCTATCAATTGTTTCTTCCAGTGCAAACAATGTGGCAAGAGCTTCAAGCGTTCGTCCACCCTGTCCACGCATCTGCTCATCCACAGCGATACCCGGCCATATCCCTGCCAATATTGTGGCAAGCGGTTCCACCAAAAGTCGGACATGAAGAAGCACACGTATATACACACGGGTAAGTTGCGTTCCATGAAGTTGGGGGGAGGAAATCAGAGCCAGACCTATGTAAATGTGACGGACTGTAGTGCAAACAGAGGACCCACCCTCGAGTCCAGATCTCTATCGCCTTTCAATTTGTCTAATTGCTGTAAAGCTTTCGCCATCCCCACAATTAATAAACTTTGAACCGGCATTTAACTAATTGTGTTTATTGATTTCCCTGCGATTCCAGGCGAGAAGCCACACAAGTGCACGGTGTGCCTGAAGGCCTTCAGTCAGAGCTCGAACTTGATCACGCACATGAGGAAGCACACGGGCTACAAGCCCTTTGGCTGTCTACTCTGCGATCAGTCCTTCCAGAGGAAAGTGGATCTGCGGAGGCATCGGGAATCGCGGCATGAGGAGGCGCCCGCCCTCGAGGATCTGAAGCCCCTGAAGATGGAGGTGAGCAGCAGCAGCTGCTGACCACGGCTAGGACATCTCTGATCCGGGAGATCCCAGTATTACGCTAAGCAGGATCGAGGGACACACTCATACACAAAAACACCCAGCCGAAGGAGCAGTTTGAAGTCTAAGACCCTAAGTCTAAGTCGTTGCTATAAAAGCCAAAGTTTGTTTTGTTTAGGCCTTCGCAAAGATTTACCTAGGCATAAGAACTATTGTTAAATATCTCCCTTCAAAACAAAACCAAACCACCCCCCTCCCCACATTAGCTAAGATACTGCCGTAAGCCTGTATATAGTTGTCCAAAAACAAGACTCTTATTATAGCTGTTAAACCTTAGCTTAATAACTAATCTAATTTATTGCATTAACCCTTATTGATTCGGTTTGAACTTAACCCAAAATTGGCAGCTAAACGTACCAAAGAACAACCAACAACAAATGAAATACCACTTGGCGTCCACTTGTCTAAATTTAGTTTCCTAATTTATTTAAGTTTATTGATGGCATCATCCCTCATTTATTTATATGATTTATGCGAATTTTTGGTTTATTCTTATTTTGTAATTTACTCAATGACTTTTATTGTAATTTATTTATTAAGAGAATATATGATTTTTTGGAAAATAAAGTTGAAAGCTAAAAGAGAACAAAAGAATGAGAGATTTGAATTAATAAAAGGTTTTCAAGAGGGGAAAATGTTTTGGATTTTTGAGACAATCTTATAAAATCCAACGATATAAAAGCTCAGAGAAAAAGAATTTATGTAAGGGGTTAAATATATAAAATCAATAAAGAAGGCATTAACTTTATTATACCTAAAATTTCTAGATAAAATAAAAGAAGTTAGGCTTATTTTACGATATTTTTTTGTCTGAGTAGACATGTTAATTTATTCAAATACCAGTCCACCATATGTGGGGTAAATATCTCATTATTTTGTTAATCCCTTGGTTCAACGGAGACATTCCACGACATCAAGGACACAGCCTCCTCCTTTGAAGACCCACATTTTGATACAAATTGTCCAAAGCGCTTGAAACATTTTTTGGGGGTTTGGCCGTAAACCTGATTTTATAGATAAATTCCTGCACGTACTCAATTGATGGGGAATAAGTTGCTCCTGTTTCGGGTGACGCGGTGATCTTTGATCTGTGCCCAATGTGGCATTTGGGGAATGCTCTTTGTAAGTCGCCGCGTTACAGCAGGTACTACCCCCGTGTGCCCACTTCCTCCCTTTCCCTGGGGAAAACGCCAATAAGTGTTCGAAGTTCGAACTAATTGCTGACGAAATAAAGTGAGAAATGGGGCTGGTGAGATGGAGGACGGGTGTTGGGGGGACTGGAGCAATGGTCATTGAGGACTGCTGATCGCAATTTTCGGTAATCGAAATGTCCGAATGCATTTTGCGGCACTTTAAAACGTCTGAAATGAAGTTTGGCAGTTTACAAATCACCGACTTCCCTCATTATCGCCATTCATCGCGGAGTGGCAATCAGAAATCGACGAAATCAGCGATCCTCTGCCGCAGGATTTCACTTGGGTCCACTTTTCGCGATACCAAACCAGATCGTCGGGTTGTTCTTTGCGCTTTGGCACGCCACAAATTGATCGAAATTGACAAAATATTGAACAAAAAACAGGGCCGCGAGAGAGAGAAATATGCAGTTCAATTGTTGCCGAAGAAAAATGCAGTTCAAGGACTTTTCGCCCAGTTGCCGACAAAGTGAGGCTCAAAAGCCAAAGAATGTAGATGCAACTGGGGCTGATCAGCTTACTATGGAAATTACTTTTGCATAAGGTTGGCAGGTGGACCAACTGAGCAAAGAGTTCGCCATCTCAAGGTCGAAAGTGGAGATGAAAAATTGGCTATTTCAAAGTCTTCTGGAAATAGTTTGAAGGTTCGTAGATACGTCAAGAATGTTTACTCTTTGAAGATATATATAGATTATTATATTATTTACTGCGAAACTTAAATACTGAAGAAAAGTTAAGACTAAAAATTCAAAATGGGTTCAAAATATGAATTAATATAAATATTAAAGTCCATTCAAAATAGTAAATGATATATATGTTTCATCTTAGAAATAGTTGGTAACCCACAGATCAAATTAAAAAGGTTTCTGAGAATGCGTTTCTGGAACTTAAGGGACGATTTTTCAATGTTAATTCTAACATAGGGTCAATTTTTTCGAAAACAAAAATTAGCTAATGTCAAACGATTTAGAAAAAAATTCAGAAGTAGGTGAACTTTTCTTTGTCGTTTACAATATAAACTAGAACATTGTCTCTAATTAAGAGTTTTCCGATATACTCTTAAATGGTATTGTAAAAGAAAATATTTCCGAATTTAATTTAATTTAATTTAACATCACATTGAGAAAACGTCTTTAAGTAAGGGGGCTCAGAAAGGAAAAAAGAAAGTGATAGCCCAATAGCTCGCACTATATAATGCACTCGACAAGATACAGCGATCGGTAGCATGTGCCATATGCTGGAGTTTCTCCGCAGCGCTGACTCTCGGTTTATTAACCCCTTTTTCCGCATAACACCTGAACCCACATAATTTGTCATGCCGTTTGGAATTTATTCAACAGTCGGACCAAGCCCCCATGGAAACAAAAAAGTGTATGGCTATCAAGAGACTGAAAAGCTGCAACCCCAAAACGCAAACAATGGGAAAACCGTGCAGTAGTGGTGGTGGAGGGGGTGAGGGGTTTCCAATTTAAAGAGGAAATTGATCTTAGAAGAGGTCTTAAGAGGCCTAGGACCCGCAACATTCTCGGGTCCTTTCCTTTCCCCTCCCCGCGCATCGCTTTTCGGTTCCGTTTTCCGGCTACCCTTAGCTCTTTGGGTCTTTTGGTGCCCGGGCAGGTGACTTTTGACTTTGGCTATTAATAAAAATAATAGTTGCGGCTAAAAAACAGAAAAAAACAGAAAAAAAAACAGAAAAGGTGAAGAGCCGGGCCAAGAGCAAGGGCAAAAAAGATGTCTTAGGTCAGTTGTGTTGCAGGTGAAGCGACGAGCCCGGCTCACAATTAAAATGCGGAGGGGATGCAGCCGAAAAGGCACCTGTAACGCACAGATAGAGGGAGACGGAAGGACTCGAGAAGGAGCAGGAGCAGGAGCAGCGGCTCAATATTACATCGGCTCATTTATGTTTATGTCCTTTCGTTGTAAGCAGGCTGGCGCTGATTCCCGATTCCCTCCAGCGGCATTGAGCACCTGCTGCCATCGCTGATGCTCCTCCTGCTGCTCCTGCTCCTCCTGCTGCTCCTACAGCTCCTGCTGTTGCTGCTGCCGCTGGAATCCTGGAACCTGTCGCACAATTATTGCGCCAGGACGAGACGAGACGCGTGCTCAAAGCCGGTTTGCGGCAAAAAATGCCATATGCCAGGAGGCAAATTACAACGGCGACCTGCAACCAGTTGACATGGGCCACACGACACCAGAAATATCAGCATGCACACGAAAAAAATCAGATCGAACATCAGTTTACTAGGATTTTGTTAACGGAAATCAGATTTATATAGGCCAGAATCTCTAAATGGTATAATAAAAGTCATATTTATGAAGTGCCTTTTCAATTAAATGAAAATCTCGGCTTTCCTTTTTAACTTAGAGAAATGATTTACATAACTAACCCATAGAATATAATGTTTCTGAATTCTAAATTAATATACTCCGACCAAAACTCTTCAGACTTTTCTATTATTTAAAGTTGGGTATATTAAGTAGTTTCTCCTGCTTACTATCATATACATAAAATAAGACTGTTCAACTAAAGAACAAAATTCAATATAAAATAGTAAATTAAGGATAGTTTTAAAATAAAAACTACTTTGTTGACTACTAGAAAATAAAAGATTCTCTTGCTTAATTTTGTTCTCAGTGGAGAAGCATCAACGGCAGAAGCCAAAAGATGCAACAGTCGTAAAAATCTCTCCCTCAGACAGACAGACCGCAAAAAACATACGAGCTGGCTGAGATGGCTGAGACGGAGAGATCTGGAGATCTGCATCTAATCTTGGCCCTCAGGGGAGTCACTACCGAGTGTGTTTTGAGCCACAAGCTGTCGCTTAAAATCCACAAGCGAAGGTGCAACAACAATCGTAAGTGCGCCGCTGCACCTGTCACGCTCGATCGATATTACAAGATCGACTTGTCGGCCAGGCCAAAAGTGACCCAATTTTCCACAGGCCTTCGTCCCTTCCCTTTTTGGCCCTTTTGAAACTGATAAGTTATGATTGCTTCACTTTTGTTTGATTGAGCATTGTCACCTGGCTGGAAACGCTGCTCGAAATTGATTGTTAGACTAAGGCTTGGGGGTGTCTTGGAATGGGTTTCATACGACTTTAATGGATACTCAAGGACAGGTGACCGCTGCATATGCTGTCGTTAAAATATTAAAAAATCCTCTCAATTGTAAAGTCATTTCTGAGTCCTTACAGTAGTTATATTTTGATTAGTTATAGGTGAAGTAGGTGTGGGATAGGTCCTTATTGTAGTCTGCATGCTGCTGTTCATACTTCCGGGTACTTGTAAGAATTTGATATCCCTTTTAGAAATGTGTCAGAAAGTGTTTTTTATTAAATGTATATGCTTTGCAGCATCTGTAATTTTACAAACTGTTTTTCCAATAAATAAGATAAAAAGCTCAACCTATAAATGGATAACTTAGAAAGAAATTTCTACTTTTTTTACTCAATACCTTTGCTGTTAACGACTAATATATTGTCTTTTAAATGATAAACTTAAGCTCATATATAAATATTTTCAAGAACAATGTGGAACTGTTTTCACTAAAAAATATCTCCTCCCCAAGTTGAGATTGCATTGGCCATTGGCCGTTTTTATTAAGACTTGGCCAAGAGCCTGACTTCTGCATTACTTTGTCCAAGTTCGCTGGCCAAATCGGAAGCCAACAGAGTGCCGTGTCAACGACTAGTCTACAAGTTGCAGATTAGTCGCCAACCCCCCTTGAAAATCTTAAGCTGTTTCGATTTGAGTGCAGAGGACAAATCCAAGTCAGATATGCAAATCAACCCCTCGTGAAATCTATTCGCAGAGCTTAATTGGCAAAAACAAAGAATGGGTAGAACGATGACCAATCCGCAAGGCTTAGAAAAAAGGGTTGCGAAAACGAGGGCCAAAACAAAAGGCAAAGTCAAGCCCCAGCAATTAAAATGACAAAATCTAAACACAAAATTGGTACGGATTTTGTGAGAAAAGGTGCAAAGTCGAGGGAAGACACCGATCTCAAGGTGTTTTCTCCTTTGGACCCGAAAAACACAGATTATAGACAGATTTTGAGGCGGCAGCAGACGGAGGCAGACACACACACACACACAATGGGCAACAAATTGCGGCTGAAGATGCAACAATACTTAAGGGTGAGGGTGCGAGGGAGAGGGAAAGGGATCAGGGATCAGATCAGCAGGTTGAAAACGCGAGCCAGCCAAGTCATTATAAGAATTTAAGCGCACCTTTCGTTTTGTTTGGTAGCAGGACCGGGATTCGAATTCGAGTTTGGATTCGAACTGGACGACAGGTGCTCGGCAGATAAGAGGAGAGCACCTCGCATAGCGGTAGATGATTCGGATCGGCGTGGATCGGTTCGGATCGTTATCCTGCTGCCGCATTTGGTCCTTCTCCTACTGCTGCTGTGCCAGATTCTGTCGGCCAGCAGAAGGGCTGGCCAAATTAATTCCTTGCCATATTTTATAATTCAACAGATGACACGAGCCAACCGAGGGCTTCTTCGAGGAGAAGCTCTGGCACGAGGGTCCGCTGCTTGATTGGTCGCTCGCTCGATCGGTGCCTTTGGGGTCACCCCGGCTCAAAAGTTCCCAGTCCCAATCCCGAACCCGATCCCGATTCCGATCCTGGTTCCTGGTTCGATCCTGCGGCTCGTTTGTGGCACAAGCCACATGCCACGCATCCAGGACCTCTGCTGAACGGCTTTTAGATGGTTCTTCCAAAGGGTTGCATTTGTTATGTGATTAGGCTTGCATCGCGACAGAAATGCGGAAACTTGTATGTTCATATAACTAAATTGTTTGCTGCAGTGATAATAAATTTTTAAAAATAATTTCCATGGTCACCAATCCTTACTTAAAAAAATAAAAAACGTTTATTGACCAGTTAATTAGAATAATATATATAAAGAAACAAACTTTTTATATAAGTAAAGATATTTGATTATTGATTATAGTCGAAATTTTTTTACCCCTGAAAGTCTCTAATATGAATGATTTAATTAAAATAAATCAATAATATTTATGTAACTTTTTAATATGCAAATAAAATATTTGTAGATATTATACATTTGTTAGAAAATCGAATACATAATACGATATAATATTTTGTATTTTATTTACTTAATCAAAAGTTTTAAATCTTTTTAAAAGAGTATTTACAATTCCAATTTGTAGAAACGAGCACCTCCTTCGTTTTTTGCACGAGGATTTTCGCTCAGCTTGGGGTTCTGCCGACTTTTCCCCTCTGGCACATTAGCTTAGTTTATTTGAAAGTGCAACAGTTTTTTGATAAAAGCAGTTTGTTGAACCCTCGCCCAGTGGATCGAGTTGAGTGGATCCCCCTCTGGGAAAGGACGACAATGACCTTTTGTCTATGCGATCTGCGCGAATAAAGAACACGTCGCCAGGGGTTGCAATCGGTCCTAACTGCATTTTGGCAAAGAACAGTTACGGGTTTTGGCCAGTTCTACAGGTGGAAATCGTGTGCTTGTCACACTAATTTCTCAAAGTTCGAGTTCAGTTTTCGATTGTTGGTCGGTGGTCGGTGGTTTCGTTTGTAGTCCGCTCCTTTGGCCGTTGCACTTTCACAGTTGCACTCCTGTCACTTTTCGTTGTTTAATTTGATGTCAGCTTTGGACTCTTGGACTTTTGGGGGTCCATTTCCATTGCCCGACATGCTGGCGAACGCATAATTAGCCGATAGAGATAGCAGCAGCAGAAAAGAGGCATTGAACTTGGCCAAAACCCAGCAGAGGATCATTAGAGAGCAGCAGGTTGAAGTTGAATGAACTAGCCCAGAGTTCGACGATCAGGAGAAAGGATAATGACAGCAGGTAGGGACACTTGCGGAAGGGACAGATCCGAAAGGAACACACCCAGGCCTTATGTATATATCCCTTGGTGACATGTTAGCGTGATGAAATCCTTTTTAGGAACTTCCACTCCAAATACAAAATCTCTTTAAGGCCAAATAAAATAAAGTTTTCAACATAAAACTAAATAAAATGCTTTGTGCTATAACAAAATTTACTATATTAAGAATATATTAATAGGAGTCCAAGGACTTATTGAAAATAACATTTATTTTCTAAATATATATTTAGCAATTATACAGTCTTTTTAAACCTTTTTGATATTAACGTTGCTTGTGAGTAACTTGGGGTTTTTTACCATATAATGCAGAGTTCTATTTGATTTCATAGTAAGTAAATTTATTATAAAAGTTAAAAATAATAAAATAAAAACGAAGACTTAGTATATGAAGAACATCATAGAACGGTATAAACATATTTAAAGATTTTTTGCAGAATGTAAAAATAAGTGAAAACAGACAATAAAATTATATGGGAACTTAGTAATTTATATTGCTGCATCGTTTTTTATTCTTGTTATACAATCGGATTATAGAAAATGTTCAATCTCTATAAATGTAATTTGCACATAAAATAATAAATAATTATTTAATAGATATAATTTAATAACTTTGAGGAATGTTAAAAAATATGTTAGTGGAAACAGCCTATATGCTATATTCCAAAAATCAAAACAGTTTCCATTTTAGTATATTTTTCGGCTCGGACGGTATATTATTGATTCCCAAAAACGGTCATACTACAGGGTTGGCTTGGCGACGCAATTTGTCCATTTTGAAATTCCAGCGGTAAAACGGTCTTGTTTTGGTGAAAATTCTTTACATAAATCAGATAAATAAGCGAGATGCAGGGATTGTTTAGTGATCCGGCTCTGGAACGCCACTTTACGGGCCACTCGGGCGGCATTACCCAGCTGCGCTTTAGTCCGGATGGCGCCCAAATAGCCACCTCCTCCACAGACGCCTCCGTGATCCTGTGGAATCTCAACCAGGCGGCCCGCTGCATCCGCTTCTCATCGCACTCGGCGCCGGTGAACGGTGTGGCCTGGTCGCCCAAGGGCAACCTGGTGGCCTCCGCCGGACATGATCGCCTGGTGAAGATCTGGGAACCCAAGATGCGCGGCGCCTCCGGGGAGTTTGTGGCCCACAGCAAGCCGGTCCGCAGCGTTGATTTCGATTCCACTGGCCAACTGATGCTCACCGCCTCGGATGACAAGTCGGTGAAGCTGTGGCGCGTGGCCAGGCGACAGTTTGTGACCTCCTTTGCCCAGCAGACCAACTGGGTGCGCAGCGCCAAGTTCAGTCCCAATGGCGAATTGGTGGCCACCGCCTGTGATGACAAATCGGTGAGGGTCTACGATGTGGACAGTGGCGAGTGCGTGCGCACTTTCCCCGAGGAACGGTCGGCTCCCAGGCAACTGGCCTGGCACCCTTGGGGCAACATGCTGGCCGTCGCCCTAGGCTGCAACCGGATTAAAATCTTCGACGTGGCCGGCAGCCAGCTACTGCAGCTATATGTGGTGCACTCGGCGCCGGTGAATGACGTTGCCTTCCATCCCAGCGGACACTTCCTGCTCTCCGGAAGCGATGACCGCACCATTCGCATCCTGGACCTTCTGGAGGGCAGACCCATTTACACCCTAACCGGCCACACGGACGCGGTGAATGCGGTGGCTTTCAGCAAGGATGGGGATAAGTTTGCTACCGGCGGCACCGATCGTCAGGTGAGACTGGTATTTATCTATTTAAAAATCTAGTTAATCTTCTTAATTCGCAGCTACTGGTTTGGCAGTCCAACCTACACACATACGACGCCTCACAGTTCGATACCAAGTCCGCCTTGGCCTCATCGGGCTGTGACACCAGTGCCGCCTCCTCGAAACAAAGTTTGGCCAGTGGCACATCCAAGTCCAATGACCTTAGCATTCGCATTGATCCGCGCCAATCGCTGGCTTATCAACAGTCGGAGGAGAACTTCCAGGTGCTTGACAGCAAACACGCTAATCAGGAGAAGCTCCATACCATGGACTCGAAGACCAACAGCCCTAGCCGGCCGTTCTTCTAACTACAAAGTTCCATAGCCTTTGCCGCACATAACTAGCCGAACATCCCCCAGGTGTTGGACGTGTCCTTCGAATCTGCCTCAGAGTCCTGCTCCTGTTCCGCGCAGCTGGAGGAGATGAGCAAGCTGTTGGCCTTGATTGATGAGCGTGTGCGACGATTGGAGGGAATTTACTCGTTATAACTTTCTAAGGGACTACATTTTTTCATAATATAATTAATATAACTTGTGATTTATGACTGATAAATTGATAAAGTATTTCATTTTGTTGCTTGGATGTATGCATATTTGCATAAGAAGTTAAAGGATATTTACACAAGGTACCAGACCATTTCGGCAAGTGCACAATTAATCCCATTAGTATAACCCGAACGCATTTCTAGGATACCTATTTAAAACAGGACATCTAGGATCGGGATACGGATTGTTTTCTGGCCATGATTGGCCCTTAATGCTGGGCTTAGACTCATTGCCTGGAAAGCCATAGAAGCCGGGTTCTCCCTTGAGTCCTCTCGTACCAGCGGGGCCATCCAAGCCGCGATCGCCCTTCTGGCCAGGATAGCCATATGAGCCAGGCTCTCCTTTAGGACCTGTGGGACCAGGATACCCGATCTCCCCAGGATCGCCCTTTGGCCCTGGATAGCCAATAAGGCCGGGCTCGCCCTTAACTCCTGGGAAGCCGGAAGGGCCTAAAGAGCCATTCTCTCCAGGATCGCCCTTATCGCCAGGATAGCCATGTAAGCCAGGTTCTCCTTTAGGACCTGTGGGACCAGCATGCCCGATCTCCCCTGGATCGCCATCCAGTCCATCAAAGCCGGGGGCGCCTTGAATGCCGGGATCGCCTTTCTGCCCTGGAATGCCATTTCGACCTTGCAAGCCTGGGAGTCCTCGTTCGCCGTTCGCGCCTGGAACGCCGGGGTTGCCAATGAGTCCTTGCTTGCCCGGATTACCCGGAGGACCAGGAGGTCCGGGAGCACCAGTATAAGCTCGTCCCCTTCCGACTGGATTGGGTTCATAGATGTCATTCCGAGAAGGTTGTGGACGAGCAGGAGGTCGGGGCCAAGTAGAATAAGCTGTTTCGACTGGATTGCGTGCATAGAAGTCATCTGGACCATTTCTGCCTTCAATAACTCCTGGCCTGCCGATAAATACAGGAGTACCTCTCTGTACTCCAGAGGGACGAGGGTAATCGCCCCTCTGTCCAGTATCGCCAACTGCATTTTTCCAGGGAGCAGGCTCTTCTTGCAACCATATTTTGCCTGCTCCTCCTTGTTCTCCTTTTTCGCCCGGAGAACCGGGTAAACCAGGGAAACCTGGAGGACCAGTGGGTCCTGGTGGTCCAGGGGGACCAGGGGGTGCAGGGGGACCAGGAGTAGCTATGTCAAGCCTCGTTGCCAGTGTTTCCAGTCTTCCGTAGATTTCAGCCTTAAAAAGCTCAAACTCATCTTGAGACACCTAAGAAAGAGATAAACAATTCAAATGCTTGTACAATCAACACCCTTATCACTAGACCATACACAATTGTGTTTTAATTTTGTATTAATGGCTTAAAATAAGTGTGATTAGTGGTTAATGAAAATGAGAGCATTCTTTCAGTACCATTATTTTTGTTGAGGACTGAATGTTTGTTTTCTTTGTACTAACGCAAAAATATATATTCTCTGAGAAAACATAAGTCTTATCAATGAGGAGAACAAAGTAGTGAAATATTTTTATTTTTACTTACCACATTAAATCCGTTGGAAGAATGCAAGAGAAGGATCCAGACACCAACAAAATAAGTTATCCCAACACATTTGCACATCGTTTAGGTATTTGAGCAAAACACAACTCATCGGAGCTTCGGACTGGGAGATACTGATCCGGGTTGGCAGATCGGAATATGGTTCAGCTCACAAATCTTTGAAACGATTCTTATCTTCGTACTTCGTGCACAGGCATATTGGTGATTTGCGAACCACTCGCCAAATTTTTGATTATCGTGGGTCAGTAACGATGCTCTAATCTCTTGACTTTTGTAGAGGGGATAATCTGTGTTTCCATTTTGATTCACCTCAGCTGGATAAACTTTCTTCAAAAACTTTATCGATTTTTAGGATACAACTTACAAAATTATTTTAAAATCTTTAAGAGCATGGTAAAAATGTTTGACGGGAAACTTGAATTCCTGCCATATTATTTTTTGTTTTGTTTTTATTTTGGAATATTATTTAATTAATTGCGGTATTTCTTAAGCGGTTGATTTAATGATCGTTGAATTTTGAATAGCGGTTTCTTGCTTTTCGAAATGTTTCCGTTACAGCAATTTAGCCGTTTAATAGTAATCTAATACTGGTGAAAATCCAGGAAAATAACGGGTTGGTTTGAGTCCGGGCTGCATTTCTGGCCGGTTTATCATTATTATTTTTGGTATATTTCTTGGTCCGAGCAACGGCCTCACTGTCCCACAAAAATAAACAAAATCCGGCGGAGAAAGTGGCGATAAACAAGCTACGTTGAACGCGAATATATTATACGTCAAGATGCGCGACTGGATGCCGGTGCTCTTTTGCGGACTGTCCGTGCCGCTCTCGCTGTTCATGTGGCTGGGCAATGTGGCGGTGTCGAAGATCTGGAGCAGCGACTTCGAGGGTGAGCAAATCCGGACACCGGATCTTTAATCCAATCCCGGGGTCAACTAACATGCCAAGGGTTATCCGACAGAGTCACGGGTGATCCCGCCGGTGCGCTGGCTCTTCTCCACGCTGGCACCTCTAACTCTGATGACGGTGGCCCTGCGCCGCAGAAGCGTGAATCGATCTGGAGCTGCGCTGGGCATCCTGGTGGCCTTTATCCTGTCCATTGCCAGCCATCCGTTCTTCGCCAGCCTGGTGGTGTTCTTCTTCAGCTCCTCGCGGGCCACCAAGTTCCGGGCGCACATGAAGCGTCGCTTTGAGAGCGATTTCCGCGATGGCGAGGGCCAGCGGAACTGGGTGCAGGTTCTCTGCAACGGCGGCATGGCCGCCCAACTGGCGCTCCTCTATCTACTGGACTGCGGCAGTGGCGAGCGGGCGGTGGACTTTGTGCGGGAGTACCGCTCCAGCTGGCTTGGCGTGGCCGTGATGAGCGCCTTTGCCTGCTGCAATGGAGACACTTGGTCCAGTGAACTGGGCTCCGTGCTGTCGCAACGCGATCCCGTGTCCATCATCACCTGGCGACGGGTGCCGCGCGGCACCAACGGCGGCGTTTCGCTGGCCGGGATTGGGGTAAGTCTGCTGGGCGGACTGCTCGTCGGCTGCGGCTATTTCGTCACCGTTCGGTACACGGTGGAGGCCAAAATGCTACTGGTGAGTCCACCTCAGTGGCCGATTATCGCCTTTGGCGGCATCGCTGGACTATCCGGATCCCTGCTCGACTCCATCCTGGGCGGCCTGCTGCAGTACTCGGGCATCAATGCCGAGGGCAAGATCGTGGATGCACCCGGAAGTGGCGTGCGCCACTTGAGCGGATTGCGCATCCTGGACAACCATAGTGTCAACCTCATCTCCAGCATAGTCACCGGCGTCACCATTCCCGTTCTCGCCCAGAAATTCTGGCCTGTGCGCTGATTCTGTTGCCCGTTCTTCATTAGGATTATGAAAACTACGGCCCTTTTCTATAGATGAAATTATGTGTTTATTGACCCCAAAAAGGTTTAGCTTTCATGATCAAATTTAATGTTTAACATAATGATAAATGCGTGAAGCCTTTAAGGCAGCTATATAAATTACACGTTCATAACTTCATCGGGTCCCGTGAATACCCTCCATATATATTTTTGTATAGCTTCCATGGCGCCAAGCGAACTAACTTAGTAAACAGACTCGATAGAAGCAACTATTAGGGCAAAAGCGTTTGGCCAAGGCAGATGTGTATTTTAAACTAAGGTAGCTAAGTATGTTCCTGTACACATGATGACATTGTTAATACTGCTAAGTAGACAACGCGACTGACTACCTAGATTGTATGTAAAGAACCCAATTAAACACTTTCTCTACTTGTGAATATTTAAATTCTATAATTTGCAAATTTCGTTACGTGACTTCAGGAATTCTCGGAAATCTATTATGGTTTTTGGGTATTCTTACGTCATCGCCAGTTGTTTTCTTATTTTGGAGAACAATTAGCTGACCTCGCCCTGTTTCGCATTTGCTTATTTATTGGATCGACGAAATTGCGCATTGCAAAAACAACTTGCTGTTTTGGTGCTCTTTAGAGTATAGCATACATATGCTACTTAACTGTTGTAAAAACATTTATAAAAGCTGGTCGGCTGAGTAAATTTAATGTTTTAATGTTCTGTTTATTTACTTATTAACTTTTTTATATTTATAATTTGCTATTTCGTCAAAATATTAAAAGTGTTCCGCGACAAATTACTCACGGTCATCAAAATACTGGTTAATGTTTTTAAAAATTAAATTTTTAGAAAAATAAATTCGAATAGATAATGCGAATATTTCATAGAATTACAAAAAACTTCCCTAGGAAGATGTCAAACCAACAGGTTAAAAGCTCAAACTCATCTTGAGACACCTAAGAAAGAAAGAACAATTCAAATGTTTGTACAATCAACTCCCTTATCACTAGACCATACACAATTGTGTTTCAATTTTTATTAATTGCTTTAAATAAGTGTGATTAGTGGTTAATGAAAATGAGAGCATTCTTTCATCCAGACTCCAATAAAATAAGTTATCACTACACATTTGGTCATCGTTTAGGTATTTAAACTAAATCCAGCTCATCAGAGCTTCGGACAGGGAGATACTGTTTCGTGTTGGGAATTCAATAGTTTTCCAGTTGATAAATTTTTGAAACGGTTTCTTATCAGCATACATGGGGCACTGGTATTTGATGGATTTGGGCACCACGAGCTTAAATCGGCAAATATTGGCTTATCATGCTTAAGTACCGATGATCTAATCTCTTGACTTCTAAGGAGGGGTTCAGACATCTGCCCAAATTCGGCAATTGTTAAGGTCAACCGATTTCAAAATAAATATTCCCCCCGCTGGTGGCGCATTTCGCGATTATAGGTGGCGCCATCTACGATTTGTAGGACAGGGCCCACTTAAATAAAAAGTACATTTTGTATGATTAATTTTCTTCAGCTTCTGCTGTTCTTCTTGCAATCAAGTTCTGGGAAAGTGCTCGCAGGGACTGATCACCGCAAACGAAGTGGTTGGCTTCGCGAATCCGATGGAGAACTTGCTCATCAGGTCGCCAATGGGGGAATTGCTCCTTACCATGTCCTCGAGGACCAACAGCCCTAGCCGGCCGTTCCTCTAACTGCTAAGTTCAATAGCCTATCAATAGTTGTTTGGACGTGTCCTTCGAATTTGAATATTTGCATATAAATCCGAAGGGTATTAACACAAGACACATGAGATTTGTAGGAGTACTCAATTAAAGGCTTTATTCTTAAAGAATCATTAATTCACATTCCAAGTATAAATGCCAGATCCGTCTTCCGATTCAAAGTCCGTAGTGCTATAAATACCAAAATCAAGTGGGTTACCATGTTCGCCCTTCTTGTGCAGACAGCCACAGCCGGGCTCTCCCTTGGGTCCTTGCATGCCGGGATGGCCTACCAAGCCGACAAACCCACGATCGCCTTTCATGCCGGAGAAGCCTGGGTCGCCGCGATCGCCCTTCTGCCCCGGAGGACCTTGCAAGCCTGGAAGTCCTGGTTCGCAGGTTTTGCATGACAAGCCAGTCTTACCAACATTTCCTTGCTTTCCTGGCCTGCCCGGAGAACCAGGAGGTCCAGGAGGTCCAGGGGGTCCGAATAGATAGCCACTTCTGGCATGAAAGCCAGCTGGGCCAGCATTCTCCGAAATGCCAGGATTGACTGGCTCACCAGGCTCTCCTTTTACGCCTCTAGGACCAGGGCGACCTGGGGGACCAGGAGTACCTAAGAATTTTGTATTGTCAAAGCTCTCCGATATTTTGTGAAGTATCGCTTCCATTGTTTCCAGTCTTCCGTGGATTTCAGCCTTAAACATGTCAAACTCATATTGAGACACCTATAAATGAAAAACACAATTTAAATACTTGCACAATAAACATCCTTATCAATGGACGATACAAAAACAAAAAATTGTCTGAACATTTTTTCTCTAATTTTAATAAATTTCTTAAAATAAGTGTGTTAAGTGTTTAAAGAAAATGAAATGATGTTTTTCAATTAGTCATTTTAACTTAAAGCAATTTTAATTATTTAAATATCAATGATGATCAATGAATATGTATAAAAATGAATCATAAGGTGCAGAATGTCTATTTTGTTCGCACCAACTTAAAATTATATATTCCCTGGGAACAAGGTAGTGCTATTTTACCACATTAAAAGCGTTGGATGAATGCAAGAGAAGGATCCAGACTCCAATAAAATAGGCTATCACTACACATTTGGCCATCGTTTAGGTATTTTAACAAAACACAACTCATCAGTGCTTCAGTCAGCGAGAAACTGTTCCGGGTTGGGAATTCAATAGCTTTCGCGCTTTAGAAATTTTTAAAACTGTTTCTTATCAGCATACTTGGGGCACTGGTATTTGGTGGATTTGGGCACCACTACATAGCTTAAATGGGAAAATATTGGCTTATCATGCGTAAGTACCGATGATCTAATCTCTTGACTTCTAAAGAGGGGTTCAGACATCTGTAACTCGAGCGACATAACCGAATTCTGCCCAAATCAGCTCAATTCGGCAATTGTTTAAGCTCAACACCCGAAACAAAAATTCAACGAACAATCATCATCATGCCCGGGCAATCCATTGATCAACGTACTGATTTTTAGCTTCGTGCCTGAGTTTAAGCAATTATGGTTTCCGAATCCCAAAAAGTTTTGAAGAGATTGTGATTTTCCCTATTTCGTGTTTATTGTGCTTGAATTGATTGTAAAATAAGGAGGAACGCTATAGTCGAGAGCATCGACTATAAGATACCCGTTACTCAGCTAAACAATTTAAAAACAAGAGAGAACGCTATAGTCGGGTGCCCCGACTATCAGATACCCGTTACTCAGGTAAAGGGAGTGCGAGGGAGATGGAGATAGAAACTTTGATCACGCATAACTTTTTAACGAATGGTCCGATTTGAAAAATTTCTTCTACATTTCGATAAGTATTGATAAACACAATAAAACTGCATTTTAACTTTTCCGAAATTATTAAATTTTTAAAATCGTATATAAGCGATTGTGGGCGTGAAAGGGGGCGTGGCACCAGTTTGAAACAAACTTGCGCTGCGTAGGAACTCCTAAAATCTACATGCAAAATGCCAATCTTCTAGCTTTTATAGTTTCCGAGATCTCAGCGTTCATACGGACAGACAGACAGACGGACAGACAGACGGACAGACGGACAGACGGACAGACGGACATGGCTATATCGACTCGGCTAGTGACCCTGATCAAGAATATATATACTTTATAGGGTCGGAAACGCTTCCTTCTAGCTGTTACATACTTTTGCACGAATACAATATACCCTTTTACTCTACGAGTAACGGGTATAATAAATATTCCCCCCGCATTTCGCGATGTTAGGTGGCGCCATCTACGATTTGTAGAGTGGGAAAATGGCAAAGCAACAGGGCCCAAATAAATGAAAAGTATATGTGTATTGTCCTACATTTGTATGATTCATTTAATCTTTTTGAACTTTATTGGTTCTCTTCAGCTTCTGCAGTTCTAGGTTGCGAATCAAGTTCTGGGAAAGTGCTCGCAGGGCTTCACTAGAGGAAGTGGGTGAGCTGGAGGGGCTGATCACCGCACCCGGAGTGGCTGGCTTGGCGAATCCGATGGAGAACTTGATCATCAGGTCGCCAATGGGGGAATTGATGAACTGGGAGCCCGTTGAGATGGTCTTGAAAATGATGCGGCGCTTGTGCTGGTAGACCTGCGGATCGCTAGGCAGGCTATGTTCCTGATGAGGATTTGGTTTGCCATTGGTACTGGTACTGGGACTGGAACTAGTTTTGGGCCGGTGACTGTTCGTGCTCACAGGTGGTAGTGGTGGCTCAGTGGTGCTGGTTTGGTTGAAGGGTCTGCCTGTGATCCTGAACTGCGCAGAGGTCCTGGGTCTTGTGGTTTTCGGGTGAGCTGTGGTGGTTGTGCTGCGACGCCTCTGGGGTCTGCGAGTGGTGCTGCTTGGAAGGGTCAACGGTGGTGCCTGGTAGCCCGCCTCGCCTTGGTCCTCATCCTCTGGAGTCGGTGCCACCGCATCCGGTTTCTCGGGATCCACCGGATAGCCCGGATCCGACTGATCCTCCTCGTCTTCGTAGTCGTCCTGCAGATCAGCCTCTCGATCTCCGCCGGCGAAATAAGGCGGTTGATGGGGTGGCTGCTGGTCGCGGCGCTCCTGCTTTTCCCGCTGCTCGTAGACGGGATCACTGGGTGCCGACGAGGCCAACACCTGCTCCATCTGCTTTTGGAGGATCTCGTAGAGCGGGGCGTTCTGCTCCTCGTCCAGCACTTCAGCCGGTTCGCTGGGCACAAACTGATTGTTGATATAGGCATTTCGTCCGTCCAGGTCCTCGTCCACATCCAGGACATCCTCCTTGCGGGAACGAGACTCCGTTTGCAGCTGATCGGGCGGTGGATGGGTCACATCTTCATTTACCTCCGCTGGAGCAGCTCGAACGGTGAGTAGAACTGAAAAAGTTTTTAGGATAACTTAACATTCAATTGTTCTTAATTGTAATCTAACCTCCACTAAGCAGGATGAATAGCTGAATCGTCCAGATTCGCATTCCGAAACTTCTATCTCCCATTGCAGTCGGTCGACTTCTGTGAGGTGAGACACCATTTCCAATGCTTTTATAGGCGGCCCAACTGCAACCTGTTGCATTGTCCATCCCACGCCCAATTAGTTTTTAGGTTTAGTGCCTGTCCCTGATGATGGCCCTTTCAACCTTCTGATATCAATCAGTTTATGGAACTCGTTTCTGGGGTCATTGCACTTGAAAGCAACTGCTCTGTCTCAGAATTCTACTCAATTTAATTATAAAGAGATAGAAAGTTTTTAATAGGAACTGATTGGAGGAGGAATAAAGTTTTGGGTAGTTTAGGGTTCATATACCTATAACTCGTAGGGTAACTAAACAATTCAAGCAACGAGGTGAAAAAGATTCCGATCTTATGAAACATACATATATACATATTATAAATAGATACTTTCCGAAATGCGGAAAAGAACGCTCTATCACAGAAAAAATGAATTACGCCGTAAACAATTAAAAATTGTATGGTTTTATATTAATAACAATCTGGTATCAATCAGTTTTTAGAACTGCTGCACAAACTGCTATTTTAATCTCCCATAAAAAACTTTCCCTGGTTCAAATGCAAACATTTCTCAAATTTGGAAATTAATTTTACGGGTGCACATTTACCGCAAATAATAATTTATAAATTTGGACAGATCATGGTAATGCTTTTCGTTGATCTTGGCAAGGAGCTCTGCGGGGAAATAGTTTTCTATTATTCTTTTAAGGATGATTTAGCTTTTAATAAAGCTTTTTCCTTTTTATACCCTTGCAGAGGGTATTATAATTTTGGTCAAAAGTGTGCAACGCAGTGAAGGAGACATCTCCGACCCTATAAAGTATATATATTCTTGATCAGGATCACCTCCTGAGTTGATATAGCCATGTCCGTCTGTCCGTCTGTCTGTCCGTCTGTCTGTTTCTACGCAAACTAGTCTCTCAGTTTTAAAGCTATCGAATTGAAACTTTGCACACACCCTTCTTTCCTTTGCACGCAGTATATATGTCGGAACGGCCGGGATCGGTCGACTATATCCTATAGCTGCCATATAACTGATTGATCGGAAATGCCATAACTTTGTTGTTTGTTAAGTTAGGAAGCTGGAATTTTCTATGGGTTTTATATTTGGCCAATCAATCCGACCTACCAAATTTCATAAGAATCGGTCGACTATATCCTATAGCTGCCATATAACTGATTGATCGGAAATGCCATAACTTTGTTGTTTGTTAAGTTAGGAAGCTGGGTTTTATATTTGGCCAATCAATCTGACCTACCAAATTTCATAAGAATCGGTCGACTATATCCTATAGCTGCCATATAACTGATTGATCGGAAATGCCATAACTTTGTTGTTTGTTAAGTTAGGAAGCTGGAATTTTCTATGGGTTTTATATTTGGCCAATCAATCTGACCTACCAAATTTCATAAGAATCGGCCGACTATATCCTATAGCTGTCATATAACTGATTGATCGGAAATGCCATAACTTTAGTGTTTGTAAAGTTAGGAAGCTGGGTTTTATATTTGGCCAATCAATCCGACCTACCAAATTTCATAAGAATCGGTCGACTATATCCTATAGCTGCCATATAACTGATTGATCGGAAATGCCATAACTTTGTTGTTTGTTAAGTTAGGAAGCTGGAATTTTCTATGGGTTTTATATTTGGCCAATCAATCTGACCTACCAAATTTCATAAGAATCGGCCGACTATATCCTATAGCTGTCATATAACTGATTGATCGGAAATGCCATAACTTTAGTGTTTGTAAAGTTAGGAAGTTGGGATTTTCTATGGGTTTTATATTTGGCCAATTAATCCGACCTACCAAATTTCATAAGGATCGGCCGACTATATCCTATTGCCGCCATATAACTGATTGATAGGATATGCCATAACTTTGGTGTTTGTAAAGTTAGGAAGTAGGGATTTTCTATGGGTTTTATTTTTAGCCAATTAATCCGACCTATCCTATAGCTGCCATATAACTGAACGATTGGAAATGCCATAACTTTGGTCTTTTTAAAGTTAGACAGTTGGGATTTTTTATGAGTATTAAGTTGCATCATATGAATAATTTTGGAGAATATAATTTACAGAGTATTCTGCAAGGGTATATCAACTTCGGCTCCGCCCGAAGTTAGCTTTCCTTTCTTGTTTTGATTGTTAACAAGAGAGAACGCTATAGTCGAGTGCCTCGACTATTAGATACCCGTTACTCAGCTAAACAACTTAATATAAATATGCCTTCTTGTATGTTTTTCGCCGCTCGAATTAGCACCTTGGCCAGCTGTTCCAAAGTCATCCGTTAGATGGCGCTACCGTGGTACCACGGGCCATGAAAGGCGGAAATGTAGGCGCTAGCCAGGTTTAAGCGTTTAATGGGTTTTTGGGCGTTGGAGTGGGTGTGGCAAACTTAGGCCAATCGATAGGTATTGACGAAACAAATACATATCAATTAAAATTTTCATAATAGCATCAAAACTGTGGCCACAGCTTGTGGCTTGTGGGCGTCAGAGGGGGCGTGGCACCATTTTGAAACAAACTTGCGCTGCGTAGGAACTCCTAAAATCTACATGCAAAATGCCAATCTTCTAGCTTTTATAGTTTCCGAGATCTCAGCGTTCATACGGACAGACAGAAGGACAGACGGACATGGCTATATCGACTCGGCTAGTGATCCTGAACAAGAATATATATACTTTATAGGGTCGGAAACGCTTCCTTCTACCTGTTACATACTTTTGCACGAATACAATATACCCTTTTACTCTACGAGTAACGGGTATAAAAATAAGTATAAGCTGTGCATATAGATATACACAAATTAAAAAGTTTTTACTATTTTCAAGAAAATCGCAAAAGTAGTGGGCACATTTGTGTGTATATTCGAAGCTAGCTATATATAACCCTTAATACCAAGGTGGATCTACGCGATCACAGCAAATCAGCACATTTCAGAGTGGGCTCAAAAAAGTACGCTTATCAATGGTCATTCCTCGGACTTCAAAGTGTTTGACAGACGTTTAATCAGTACTTTAGTCATCGTTTTCCAGTTCACAGTTTCGTATCACTAAAAAAACCAATTTAAAATGCCTAAGATTGCAGGGATTTTTCTTTTGTTCATTCTGTTCGCCATAAGAAGAAGTTTTAGGCTGGGAAAGGGACATGTTCTAATGTAGTTTCTTTGTTTTAGGTGGCCATGTGAGATTGATTAGATTGATGAGCTTCGTAGAATGAAAGAAAGTCTTGGGAAGCAATTGGAATTTCTTTAGGTAATCCATTCTGCAGAGCTGAAAGGGAATATATACTTTGCATGCCACAGTTAACTTTCTTTTGTTTTAAGCATAATTTATAATCTTTTTTTGTTGTGCAGACGGAAATTGATGATCCAGACGTTAAAAACACAAGAAATGATTGAAGAATTTAAACGCAACTATACATTGCTTACCGAATCATAAAAGCCAAACTAGTTGAAATAAAACAGAAACGATTTTAATGATTTTAAAGCTTTTTTATTGTAATAAATTAAATAAATAGTTTTTCTTAAATGAGATTTTCTAATTAATTTATAGGCTAAGCTATATGGTACTTGAGCCTATCATTGTCCTTGCCCTTGGGTGGGGTAAGGTCCTTTAGGGGCGCGATTTCCAGTGGTTTGGGGGTGGGAGTATCCTTTAAGGGCATGGGGGGCAGGGCGATGTCCTCAGTGGTCTTTGCAGGCTCAAAAACTGCGGTTGGTTTTGGAATCGCGGCCTGGACAGCAACTGGCACTGGGATCAGAGGAGCTGCCAGGAGCTTCTTGACAGTCAGGGTCAAGGGCTCCTCCTCGTTCTTCTCCTTTTGGAACTCCTTCTCCTCACTGCTCTCACTGCTGTCCTTTTCCATCTTCTTTTTCTCAGCCTTTTCCTTCTTTTTTTGCTGCTTCTCCTTCTCCTCCTCCTGCCTCTTTTTCTCCTCCTCCAGCTGCTGTTTCTCCTCCTCCTGCCTCTTTTTCTCCTCCTCCTGCTTCTTTTTCTCCTCCGCCAGCTTCAGTTGCTCAACAATGGCCGCATCCCGGAAGTAAGGTGACGAGCGGAACTTCTTGTCGGCATAGGCAGTCTCCTGGGTGTATTTCGCCTGGCACTCGGAATAGGAGAAGTCCGTCCAAAGGCCGTGGGATCGGCACTTGGCCACGCTCAGTTTGCATTTGTTGTAGAAGACGGCCACTTCGGAGGATGTCCTGCCGCAAACGGGTTCGTACAGCTCATCGCAATCATCGTCGCACAAATAGCCCTCGCTCAATGACTGGGCTGCACTATTGATGGCCGCGGAATTGGAGGTCTGGCAATTCTTTTGGCCGGACTCACAGCCGAACCACGCAATGGGAATGGCCAGGTAGGGCGGACTCAGACGCTTCTGACTGGATCCAGATTCCCCGGGAGCCGCATAGGTGCGCTTCACATAGTAGCCGTGCTCCTCGGTGGATACCTGAGTGCTGCCAGCCAGATCCGTCGAGCTGGACCACTTGGTCTTCGTCTTGGTCTTGTGGGCATCGGACTTCTCGTGATTATGGTGATCGGAGCCCTTGTGCTTGCGACGTTTCGCCTCTGCGGGTGTCGCCTCCAAAAGCAGCAAAGCAGCCACTATTAGATGGTAATAATTGAGCATTAGTTGATTATAGGATGTCCAGAACTGATCGGTTTCGATGGGAAACACTTACCAACGATACAAGCAACTTGGTACGGTCTCATGTTGATCTGGCCAGCTGCTCGTCTCCACAACAACTGATCGCATCTTCTGGCGAGCGGTGCTTAAGTACCAGTCTTAGCCACTCGACGGGGAATTCTTTACCGGTTTTCAGATCGCACTGCAGATCTCAGCGGCAATGGCCAGTTCCCCACTGCGTTTGTTTACACTTCGCGCAGTTTCGAGACCCGAACGAAAGTACTATCTTATTTGGTGAAATTTTTATGCAAACTCATGTGGTCGTACCCTTTTCCCAGCGATAGCCATCTAGAATGTCTCATATCTGGAACTGGTTGTGTGTTTAACACCTTCGATGCCCCCCATTCGACGCCCAGCCTCTTGAGCCGGTTCTACGAAATTAGGTCAATCTGGAAAGGTTCGGTGATCTGGTTGTTATTTTATGAGGTTCTTCTGGCCGCGATCGCCGGCAGCTGCACTCGCTCGCAGGAAATCCACGTCCAATCAAGCGCTGTTATTCTGTTATTCCGCCGATCTCTGTTGATCTTTGGTCTGTCTAAGAGATCACATCCATCGATGGTAATTGTAGTCTTGATTGGAGGAAGATTTAGACAAACTTAAGTGAACTTTTTAGCTCAAGAATCGGCTTAAAGATGGACAATAGATTGGAATTGGTTCCGTACCGACTGGTAACAACTACCATTCAAATATAACACTTTAAAATAGCTATTTGTATATAGGAGATTGATTTATTGATCATAAGTGTTGTATAGTTAAGTTTACCGAATACATCTTCGATGTATACATACACACAATACCCAAATCCACTCTCTAATGATTATAAATCACTGAATATCTGTTGATCAACCCGGTAAGCCATCCATAATTGCATTTATTATTACCACCATCGATTTGATGACTCATTTCGCTCGTGATCACTTCTTGTTGATTTTGAAATGTAGTTCCATGGAAAAGTTTTCAAATTTCCCATTAGCATTAGAAAGTTAACCGATCTGTGATGCACTGCCGTCTGGTTGGGGGCGATCAAAGCGTATCTAATTACGTAATTAGGGCTTTGACCGAGTCCCAAAAAAAAGTGAGACTAAGTGATCTTGTAAGCAGCTTTGCATATCAGCGGAAGAGTCGAACTGGGTTCGCCAAACGGCGCTAATGTTTCAGACAAACAGTTCCAAGCGAGACCATGTCTTTGGACACAAATCAACAGATTTATGAAAGAAGCTGCCAGAAAACAGAAAGACAGAAAATTTAAATAAATGATTTCGGTTTCTTTGGGCTAAGCTATCGCGTAAACAAAAGAAGTTCAACGAAAGGAAAGAAAACAACCAAATGAGATGAGCCGCGGTGGGAGGAAAGAAACCCAAGAAAGAGAGCTTGGGTGCAGTAAAAGCGGCTGGACAACGCTCTGGTTAGTCCGCACCAGAGATCGGGTTAAGATCGCGCTGAGAGCGGAGCGTTTTGGGATCGCCTTGTTTGCTCGCATTTACTTTCATTTTTGGAGGGGCTATAAAAAGCGAAAGCAGAGCGCTGGATTTGCTCATAAAGACCGCAAAACTGCAAAAGTCCACTACGGAGTCAGTCGAAATCAAAGGATTAACACAATGGTTAGACCCATCTACCTGGCCCTCGGTGAGCTAATTTCTGATAGGGGTTTCATTTACCTTTGCTAACCATTTCACCTCCCAAAAACAGCCGCTTTGCTCGTCCTGACCTGCTCTTTAAGTGCAGCTCCATTGGGCGAGTCGGAAATCAATACCAGTCTCGAGCTTTCAGCTTCCAAACAGACAGAGGAGCAACTGGAGGCCCACAACTCGAGTACCGACAGCAGTGAGGAGGGCGATGACGATGAGGTGGAGGATGAGGTGGCCGTGAAGACCGAAGAGGATGATGATGAAGAGGACGACGACGACGATGACTCGCTGATCCGCAGACGTCGCGAGGTGGATACCACTGAGGAACCTTCCGAGGAGACAGCCACCGAAATCCCAACTGAAGATCAGAAGGTGGATGCCACCACTGGGGCAGCTCCAACGAGAAAACCCGTGCTCGTCCTTATCCGCGACGCCTTGAAGAAGGTCACCACGGACCTGCCCACCGCACAGGTGGCCAATAATGCACTGCAGTACTTCCAGCAGTTCGAGCACTTCATCCAGCAGGCCATTGAGGAGGTCATCGGCGACGATGACGATGAGGAGGAGACTCCGGTCACGGTCATTCCGGCAGTGGAGGCCACCAACTATGAGAACAAGAAGCCCGAGGTGGAGAGTCCGGAGAAGGCTCCTGAGCCCGAGGTCCCAGCTGAAGTCCCTGAAAAAGAGACCCAAGCCATGGAACCCGTCAAGATGGAGGATTCCACCACTTCGACTTCGGCTCCTCTAAGCAATGCTGTCTAGTCTAGATATCCGGTTCAGATCCACACATCATTTCTCAGTTATTTATTGTCATTTATTTATTGTTAGATATAAACTTAATGCCATATCCTGAAGTCTAAAGTGTTTATTCCACCGGGTGGTACACAAGATCCTGGCGATCCATCCTCTCCTTCATCGCATATATGTGACTCTTCAGTTGGCTGCGATGGCGATTGGTGGTCCGTCTCTTGGGAGATTCAATCTGCTGGAGCAAGCGGTTGAAGTGCGAGTTGGGTGCCTTGGTGGAGGGGTTCTTCTTGCCGGATCCAGTGCCATTGGGCTTTTTCAGGGACAACTCCTGATCCCCAATGGTCAGGGTCAGGGGCAGCTTTCCACGCGTGCTGATGTAGATGGGAATGGTGATGTAGATGGGCGAGCCGACTGGTTGAGGACTGACCACTGGGGAATCTGGTTGGGTTTTGATCTGCTGACTTGGCTGTTGCTGCGACTAAAAAGTATAATAAAGTATTGTATGTATAAAGAACAAATATATTAAGTGGTATGATAAAAAAAATGTGATTTAATTCGCATAAGATAGTGATAGTGAATTGACAATAAATTTGAAATGAGAAATATAACATTTATATCTGCGACCATAATGAATATTTTTATAAAATTTTATAAATATAAAGAAAAAGGTGTCGTTTATTAAAATGATATGCATAAGACTTTGTTATTTAATTACAATGGAAAATATACCTTAGACTTTCTTTAAATATACAGAAAAACTGTATAAAGTAAGACAAATGTATCTTTATATATACATAATTAAAGTACGAACGTTAACCAGGTACTTCAAAAGAAAGTCAATGTTATAAGCATTGAAAAAAACTCAATTATTGTTTATGATTGAAGTGTTAAAACGATCGATATCAGGTAGTTGAGGATAATGGAAAATAAATCTTCTGAACCCCAATAAGTGATTTATTATGGAGTCTGCTTAAAGGATTTCATACCTGCTCTACTTTTTCTGAGGGCAGTGACAGCTGGTTGAAAAAATAAAAGAAGTAAAATAAATGAAACATTAAATAAATAAAAATGTATTTAAACAAATATATAATTATGTTTTAGTTCATTAAAAAAGATGTGAAATCGAACATACTTATCAGTATAAGTATGTTCCAAGAGATCTAATTAAATATTCAACCTATTTGCTTCGTCTGAATGATATAATATTTCTCACCTCCTCATTTTCAAGATGCAGTGGCTGCTGTTTGAGGAAGTGCAGCGGATTGGCATCCTCGCCCAGGTTGTTGTACTCGTCCTCCGACAAAGCGGGAAGACGATCGTTGTGGAAGTTGTAGTCCTCCTCCTCGATTTCATGTGCCTGCATTGAGGACTTGGCTGTGGGGGGGTTGTTGGGTTTGGGAGTAGTGGTCGAGGTGGTACTGGAGGAGCTGGACGAGGAATCTGATGAGGATGGCTGCAGCATTACCTTCACTCTAATGACCTCCTGGCTGTCGTTCTTTTTTGTGACATTCTGACCAGAGCACAGAATTGAGCAGAGCAGCAAAACTAAAGTAAATTAAATACAATTAGGTAAATTCATTTTTACTCATATTCTGTTAGATTTAATGAGTGACTATTAAAGTATGGTCTTTTTACTTTACTTAAAAACTTTAAATTTATTATTTATGTATTGATCTATTTTAAACAGTCATAACAAAATGGTTTTGCTTTTAACATTATTAAATATTATTAGAAGTCAAAAAAATCTTTCTCAATTATAAAAATAATACAAGCTTATATCATTTTATATTGTTAAACTTACTTAGAACTGAATTGAGTTTTATAGACTTTAAAGACATATAAAATATAAAAGTTCGCAGGCATTACGAACTTGTCTAACCCAAATTAAAGCTATGATCATTTCAAGTGATGTCCAAAAACCTTTTTGCAATTTCAGTGTGATATTTTATTTGATAAAATATTACAACCTAAAAGCTACCGACTAACTTAAGATAATGCCCAGCCCCAGCCTAACAGCCTGTTCCAAGGTACTCCTTGCGATTTGCCCAGATTACAGGGTCGTCTTCTTGCCATTAAGGATCATCTCGGTGAGTCCGAGTTGCCGGAATTGTTGGAGGCGCTCCACTTGGTGGCAGAGACGTTTCTGGAACTGCACCTCCCGGCTGAGTTCCTTTAGTTCATCCACAGTGCCCATGGGGCTGCAGCTGCCCATCTTTTTGGCAATGAGATGCGAGGTCAGCGCGATTTTGGCCTTCGAGAGGCGCAGATAGGAGAAATCGGTGCTGGATCGCTTTAGTTCCTGGCGGTACAGGAACAGTTGGTAGGGGAAGTTCACGTTGGCGGCCTTTCGACGGAGTTTCTTCAGAGCCCGCTTCTTCTGTTTCTTCAGCGGATCGTGGCTCTTCACCTTGTGTGGTTTGTCGGAACGCTTCTTTTCTGATCTGCGGCTGGACTTGTGATGGTGGTCAATCCTCTCTGATTTGTGATGGCTGGACTTGTGCTGCTGGTCAATCATGGTGTGTGTTTCTGGTTCTATGTCTCTGGAGCGAATGATGCTTTGACCAGTAGGGTGAGGTCCTTTTAAAGGACACGATCGGCAGGTAGATCCTCCGCCCAGGTAGATCCGCTCATTATCGGGTGCCAGTCACGCGCTTGCAGGCCATAAACTTAAACCGTTTAGCAGACTCCTCATTCGGTTTCCATGGGCCATGCGGGTCGCCGGGAATTTCCCCGTTTATGGCTTTATGACTAGCCAAAGATCCGCATACCCGGCCTAATCCTCAATTATGGCAGCCAACTTAGCGCCGTTCGCCCAGATCCCCTGGGTTTTGTGGCGATTTTTCCAGCCGAACCCAGCAGGGGATACCCGACCACCTTTCGCGGAAAACGCGGACTGTTCTAGAAGCACATTCAGTGGAAATAGGCAAGGAGACTCGACCCTGTCCCCCTAGAAATTTCTAGCTAACACTTGGATTTCCTGGAGGCAAGACCTTAGATAATTCCCTTTTCACACGGTCACCTTTCTATTTGCCTTTCCCCGAGAATCCTTGTCATCTAACACCCACGGTACACCAAAATGTATTTAAGAACGCACCTCCGCAATTAAAGCTCCAAGATGTCTTCATGTTTCGTGTTTGAAAATAATACTGAAACCGCTTTTGGCATGAGATTTCTATTTTATACCTGTGAAGGCAAAGTTTATGGCTCGAGAAATTTCATTTGAATGGGAACAATGCGAAGTTCTACCGGTAGAAATTTGCATATTAATTTCTCAATAGTCTGGCTCCACTTTTCTCTTTCTTTTCTAGCTATGCAAATTTGGCTTTGCCTGCTTTTGGACCTACAAATTTAAGCGCCAATGTCGTCATTGATTGAGTCTCTTGTTGAAGATGGCCAGGGGAGTGGAGGGGAAGTCGAATAAATAATGATGATGCGCCACTTTTTCGGTTTATTTTGCATGCATTTTATGAATTTCGATTCGAGAGGCATTCTTTCGCCCGAGTGCCCAACAGAAGTTATGAGGTCTCTTCATATCTTTATATTACCCCCTCAGTTCTGCACAGAAAAAAAGAAAGCAACATGGACTACAAAAATGTATATAAATTTAGGAATTAGTGTTTCCCAGCCCAGTTTAAATATTTACTATTAAGATATTTTATTAAGAAATTTGTTTAATTTCCGAGGGAGTCAAAGGTTTAATGATTTACAAATATTTATTTATTTTGATATAAATATTATATTAATAATAAATACCTTTAAAGTGTCGTATTCTCCAATCATAAACATATTTAAAGTTAAGCTGGTTCTAATTGAAACATTTTATTTTAATTATTTACAGATGTTAAAATAGTTTATATTCTTAGATTACTCATCAAATTTGGTTGTACCTATACCTTCTCTGTGATCAGTCATATTTTTTAAAACAAATAAATATTGTTTCTGTAATACAAACAAATCGGTCAAGGTTTTACCTCAGTGTGGTCATTCGAAATTAGTCCGGACCATTGGAAAGTCATCGATGGATGGGTCGCTGCATCCATTTAAAGTTCATTTTATTTATCTAGCTGCCAGACGGAAAGTCCGGGTATTTCCATTTGACTTGGCTGCGACTGCCTTGCATAACGCTTCCCTCGATGTCCTTCATCTTTTGCGGTTTGCGTTTGTCATTAGACAACGTCTAGACCGAGACTCAGTCAGCCAGTGCCAGACATCGATCTGCGGTGATTGCCCCAAGAAGTTGGCTACACAAAATTGGCCATAGGGAAATGGTCGAGATTGGCAACGCTTTCCGAGCCAACTGTCTCCAAATTAATATTTTTTGGGTTAAGCAGAGCGAATATATAACGATTTTGGCAGCATATTTCATCTTCCTTTTGACTTCATTTTTTTTAATTTTTGTAGTGAAATGAGGTTATAATGCACTGATAGCCTAGGCAATTTCCAATTTTAAAATCATTTACTAAAAACTCCCCAATTATCACACTTCAAAAGAACCCTTGTTCTTATCTCACCACTTAGACAAATGGAATATTTTATACATTTCCATCAATTTTATTTCCCTGATAGGGCATCATTTAATTCTGCTTAACTGTTTCTGGTTTTTATGGCTGACCCTTCAGCTGGGGACGTTTTACGATCCGTCCTTTTATAGATTTCCAATTATAAATGCAGAAAAAGTCAAGCCATGGGAGGGCTAAACTTTTTCATTGCAACCAATCGAACGAACGGCGCAATAATTTTCCATCGCCATTGTGTGTTTGCAATTTGTTAGCCATGAGGCCAATAAATTGGCCAAATATGCGCCATAAAGTGGCTAGCAGAAGGAGCCATCAGCCAGAAGATAGAATCCAGCAGGGGGAGAAAAAGGAGGAAAGAAGGGGATTCCCCAAAACCTATGCACTTTGTAATGAAATAAATGGACTTTCATGATGGACGGGCCAGCAAATAAATGGCAAATTTTCGCTCCAAATTAAAATATATACTTTTTATATTTTGTTATGGCCGTGGTAAAATACACACGGCTAAACTCCTCTCACGGAGTTATATTGTTTCATTTTATGTATTGCTCTTGTTTCGGGCTGTATAAACTGCATTTCACATTTTATTGTGCACTCAATCAAAAATCCATTTCCGTTTGTTTCGAACCCATACATCTGTTTCAGTCTGTCTGCGCGGAGTGTGGAGATTCCGGATCCAACGGCAGGTGGATTCGCGGGTGCCCGGATTGGCAGCCAAAAGTTTGATAATTGAGTTGGAGCCACGCGCTGAAGTTTCGACCATGTCCACCTACCCAATGGGTTACAGAACCAGTCTATGCACTTAAAGAAATGCTTTTAAAAACAATTGTTATTTCAAGTCACAAAAAGGAAGCCTCAATAAATGTCATTTGGAATAAGAGATTAAGCTCTTTGTTAGTTGTGATCTGGTTGGTGATCCTAAATATGATAGATTTTTCAGATTATTTACCAAATAAGAGAAAGTAGGAAGAAAGCGAACGTTAACAGTAGTTAATTTAAAATGATGTTCTATTAAATAAAATAATTCAATTAATTACGAATAATAATATAAATATTTTAGATATGGTTTTTTTTTTATTAATAAAAGATTCGAATATAGATTTTGTTATTTCAGTTTACTTAAAAAATATTAATACTTCATTTTATAAAGTACATATGTTTATATTCCGTACACAAAAATACATACTTACAAACAAGGGTAAGGATACAATTTTATTAATGTTTTGTACTATCAATGATGAAGACTATATAATAAGAAATATTTGCATATAACCAATATGTTCAAACTTTTACCCAGTGCATCGCCCACGCCCATCCATTGCTGTCCCCAATCATCATCAGCTTTTGGCGGACTGGGGAGGAGGCCTCCTTTTGAATGCGCAGGACGATGGCAGGGACTCCGTTCGTGTTGCACGTGCCGCATGGCAATTCAATCGACTGTGGGGCGAGGAGTCAGCTGAGCGACCAAATAACATCGGATGGATGGCTACCCTGACAGCCCGAGTTCCGCTCTTGAGCCCCAACTCCCGCCCCTCGACCCTTGAACCCCAACCTCCGCCCCGCCACCTCTGCATACTGCAGTCAAAGTAATGCAATCCCATTGCAGCCGCATAGGGTAAATGGTTGGAGATCCTTGCGGAAGGACCTTTATTGTGTTTGTGCAGACCATATGATGGAGTCCTTGCCGGCAACTGACTTTGAAATGGTTAAATGATGGTCAAACGATGAATGAATTATTCGCACAGCAAATGGGACATGAGGATGTGTAATTTGAACACCAATGTTTATCCAACTAAGCTCTAAGTAATAGTGGATTTCACTCATAGAATGTATACTTATTTGATATACATTTTAAATAAATTTTTTTAGCCTAAAGTTATTTTTTTTAAATAAGTCAACATACATCAATTTATAAAGAATTTCGTTCATTTTTAGTACTAATGGACCGTTTTTTCCCTATTAAAAACTGAACATTTTATTTTAAATTAAACACATTTATCATAGCATTTTAACTAATGGATATTCTGCTAATCATTTTTGTATTATATATGAGACTGTAAATTTCTTTGAAAAAATTACTTTTTAAAACATTTTAAATTAAATCAGAAAAATATTTATACATATTCAATTAGGAGTAGTTCTCCGTTTAATTTAAAAGAGGAAACGGAATATCTGCATTCGAGTATTTGGCAAAAACTGAAGTGAAAAGAAAGGGAAACACTGCATGATATGCACGAAAAATTGTCATGCAATAAAAACTAATCAAATAAATAAATAAATGAACAAAAGCTGGGCAGTAGAAACGGAGGCACCGGCAGAGCAAATAAAGTGACAAAATAAAGGAAAACAATTGCGAAATAAATGCCACAAACAATTGACAATAAACTACACGACATACGAATAAGTGTGCATGCGTGTGAGTGTATGACCTGATTCGCATACATACATAGATACATGTTTGCATGCGTCAAGGATATAAATAAAATGAAAAGAAGCCAGAAGAAGAATGAGGCACTGAGAAATAATAAATAAACTACAGTTCATGTCATGTCAGCAAGGATAACAGAGAAGAAGGGACCAACAAAAACTGACAAAATGAAATTGAGAAGAGGAACAAAACACACAAACACACGATGGGGGGAAAAACAAAAAAGATAATAATAAATATGTAGAACAAGTGAAAATGGCCAAAAGTTGTACAGATGCGTGTAGTTAATTTGATGAGCTCTTTAAGTTGTCCAATTTGTTCGCATCCCGGCAAAAAGAAATTGAAATAGGCCTTGTGAACACGAATAGACACGCATTCACCCAAAATTTAGGGAAGATATGGTTGGCAAAAGATAAGGATTGGGATAAGAAAGTGGGCTGAAAATCCTATCCGAGGGGTTTCTGCAGTCAAGAATTGAAAATGCTGGTTTTGGGTGTCTAAAAGTGGGAAAGAAAACATTGTAATATTCTCATTGTTGTGGGTTTAGGTTTGCAGGAGAAGAAATAAAAAGGTAAGGATATGTTAAAAACTTTTGGCATCAATATTCATTATTTTAATTGATTTTACATGTTATGAGTGTTTTATATAATATAGATATCTATAGATTATTATTTTCAAAAAGAAATCATATATTATGCTTTTGCAGATTCATTTATATTTAATTCATATAGCTCCTATAGGAGTAATTGGAAAAAAGGGAAATAAAATTTTAACTTTGTTGTTTCTTAACTTTTTTTGTTAAGCAAAAATCTAAAAATAATCAAACGACTGTATCATTAATCTGATATAGGGACAATCAGAAAAAGGGTAATTAGGTTATAAACTAAAATTATATTAACATATAACCATATACCACGAGCTACAGTAATTTTTAACGATTTTGGAGTATTGGTTTTACTTTTATAAAAATCGGACAATTCGGACATAGAAACCATTGAAAATGTAGTCGGAAAATAGACTTAGCTTCATTATTTTTAGGCATAAAAATTGAAATATAAAATATTACATTTTTAAAAGAGTAACAAGGGTATATTAACTTAAGTTAACCTAAGTTTGCTTTGAAAATTTGTCATTTTATCGTTGATCAATTTGTTTGACACATTTTCACCATTTTACATGTTATTTATT